AAGCTGTAAATGGCGGAGATGATGAGACAACACAAAATGCTGACAAGGTATTTTAGAAATCTGATACAATCTTATAGTGGAGAATAAATATTAGGACTTGTTAAGAACATACTCTTCTTCAAGAGTAACTTCCACTTTTTTCACTTGTTCTTGGATTGATTTTGCCTGCTGTTGAAGGGACTGCTTGTTCTTTGAACCAAGCTGTATCTCAGAAGACTTCTTCACCAAATTCTCAGCCTGCAGTGCCATTGCTTCAGTCTGTTTAGAAAGTTCCTGTAAGGATGCAAGACATATTAATACAACTATAAATAGTTTCATATATTTACATACGAAGTATTTTTCCTCAATGTTTGTGGTTAGAAAAAAGTATCTGTTTCCTATATGTATATTTTGAATGTGTAAATACATAAAAACAACCTCTGAAGAAAGTTATTTTCATGTTGCATTTAAGAAATGTTCATTTAGGCAAACTAGCTTGAATAAAACTTAGCAGGGGAGACTATATGTCCAAAAGTTTTTAACTCAACCAATCAAGATTTATTCTATAGCTCTTCAAGAAAAAGAGGATTTTGCAGTATCCTGTAGCTTGTAATCTCACTTTGTTTAACAACTATTTTCTGTCACAAATGGTAAAGCCATACACCAGAACAATGGATGCTGAGCATAACCAAGACACATGTAATTTAGCATCAGATTCATCAAAGAGTAAAAACAGCATGAAAAACATGGCACTCGGGAAAGTCAATCACTACTATTACTTCTGTATCAGTAAATAAAATTGGCTGGGATAATTCTGTGTTACTAAGGCCGAGTGGCACATTATGGCTTATGTCCATATTGTAGAAGTCTCTCTTTTTTCTTCTCAGGGCTAAAAGGGTGCTAGTTGGCACAGCCTACATAACCTTGCCAAAGAGCACACTATTGGTATTGATATGCCGGTGCTTGACGCTGTTTAGCTTACTAATACAGATGATTACAGAGCATAAAATGGGAAGTCCTCAAAATCATTTTACCTTCTATACGTGTGCTTCAGATGCAGATTTTGAGTAATTCTTCATGATCCTTTCATAAAATAACTTTTTACCCCTAAACAGTTTATGCAGTCTCTAATCTGTATAGACAATTTGCATCAGCATTAACAGGAAGCCATGCAAAGACTTAAGGCAATACGCTCACTACACGTTAACAAGCAAGGCAGAAAGATATCTCAGTTCCTGTATTTCACACAGTGAATACCTTTGTCTGATCCAGTTCTGAGGAGAGGCTCTCTAAACTGCTAAAGTTTAAGATACGTTCAAGTGCAGAGCTTGCTTGATTGAGATATTTTACTACTGTTTCTTTGTCCCTTTCAAACTGCTCCCATTTATTTATTGTGACCTACAAAAACAAAGAAACAAACCCAAAATGGGAACATAAAGACAAAAAGATTAAAGGGGGAAAAAAAAGAATTTCAATGTAAGTTACTGAAGAAGGAAAAGAGAAACATCTGACATAAAGTATTTACTTTACAGATGAAACTGTTCTGAACACAATAAAAGTTTTCCCTTGAATTTTCACTGATTCATACTGCACTGTGCATAAAAGCACTGTTCTCTAAGGTGCCAGCAATATTTAAATCTTATATTTGAATGACCTGTGAGAAGTCTGAAGTAATAAATGCAGATACTTATGCTTATGGTGACAGGAAGTCAACTATACCTAAAAGGATTTTTAAGTTCTCTAATGAAATAAATTACAGTAATATAGTAGAAGAAAATCCCTACTCATAGGGAACTCACACATAGGAATCTATTTGTTCTTTTCTGATAATGTAAAATTTTGATTAACATACAGCATTTGATTACCAGTCATAGAATTATGACAGTATAAACAAATATTTTCTTGATTCTCAAGTAAAGCAAGGCCTGAGTTAAGACTTTATATATGGGATTCCTCACAAAAAAAAATTGTTTCAATAATAAATTCTTACA